ACTTGAAGACCATCGGCATTGACAAAATCACCATCGGTCAATTGCAAAAGGGAGCTTTACTCAGAACAGATTATATCCTGCGACAATACCTTCAACACCATCAAACACTAACATCTTCCTATCCCAGGTCCTTGGGAAGGACTTGAGAGATAAGTAAAAATGCCAAATCCAGTCTAAACATTTGGCTGACTGTGTGACCAACCATAATAATAATAATTTATTAAACTTGTATGTCCCCATCTCTCAACAATTCCTCCTCCTCCCTTTCACTGCCTTTTCTCTTAATTTTTGGTTTAATTTTTAATATTAGTTTAATTTTTAATTTTAATTTGAGCTTAATTTTCATATCAGCATCCCAGAATTTTTAAGACTTTCAAGTGAACCTACTGTTCTTATTACAAAACGTTTGGGTAATACTGTCAGGTTTCCTTTGATTTTAAATGAAGTAGATGTGTTCCATTTCCCAAATGAGGTTAATGAGTGTAATTAATGAGTTCTGGTAAGCTCACTAATTAAAAATTTGAGCTTGACTCTTTTGAAACCCAACTAGCGCTTGTGACTAATCCTTTTTCAAAGTATATTCAGCATCAACAGTGTTTCCATCCATAACTCTAATTCTATAAAATCCTTTATCTCCCTATTCCTTGCACTGAACAAATTTTTCCTTGTGCTTAAAAAGAGGATCATTAAGGAAATGGGAGAAGGGCAGATGTAAGAGGACTCAGCTATTTTTCCACTATTTCCAGGGATAGTTTTGCCTTATTCAGTGGGGAGCCCAGTGCTTAAGTCACTTTGTATCTTTAACATATTATTTACATTATAGGAAATGTTTTAATTGAAAACATCAAAATAATGTTTTGAATTTGGTTGATTCCCAACCATACTTTTTCTTTTGTTATATGGTCTTGGTCATAGGGAGTTTTTTAATAGCTATAAATTAAGAGAAAATTATTTGCCATGCATGAAATCGTATAGAAGGTAGTGAGATTGAGAGTATTTGAAACATAAACAAAATCTTAGAAAGAATAATCATTTTAAGTGGAGTAATTCTGCCAAATGGTAATAGTGAAAGCTGTCACCATGATTTTAGTCCATTTTAATATTGCACAGCACTTTTGAAGGTACTATACCCGCTAAAATACGATCATTCAAGCAGACCATGTGTCTTTTGGGTTTCAGTGTGACATGGCAGTTTTTCTTCCTGTTGCAGTTCTCCACCCCTCATCGAATCATCTTGTCTGGATCACCTCTGCAAAACAATCTCAAGGAGCTGTGGTCCCTCTTTGATTTTGTATTTCCAGGAAAACTGGGAACACTACCTGTCTTCATGGAGCAGTTTTCTGTTCCCATAACCATGGGAGGATATTCCAATGCCTCTCCAGTTCAGGTAAAGATAAGAATGGTTGTAGCATCAGACCGTTGAAAGTTCTTTGATAGATCTATACAAGACTGGAAACCCTTTATAGACTTTGCTGAAAATGGTTAAAAATGAACTGCTGATTTCGGGAGTAACTGATTAAAAAGGTTTGTTTGTGGAAAAAAGGGAACTGTGTTGTGAATGTGTGAGGGCAGAGATGGTAATTGCTATGCTTGTAACTGCTGCAAAGAAGATTGGATTCTTTTTCTTGCTTTTTTGTTGTTCACTTTTTCTTTTACCCTTTTATAATCTTTTTCTTTTTCTATTTCTTCTATGTTTCTGTAGTTTTTAAAATCTTGGTAAAATCTTTTAATAAAAATTATTTTAAAAAAGAAAGAAAGGAAGCTCTTTTATAGACCTAGCATGTATATCCTCATACAGTCCTTAAACATATCTTAGCAGGCATGTGTCCATTACACAAAAATAAAAAGTTAAAGCATCAGAAAATATGTATCAGAACATTGAAAAAAAAACATAGCTATGTTCAGTGGTGATACATAACTTATGTCCAGTATAGTAAATATACTTACTTTAATGGAGAAATGGCAGAATAGGGATGTTAGACCATTAAAGGTGAATGAAATTTTATGGATGTGTAAAATGGCAAAAGCCTTTTAAGAGTGCCCCACATGTCCCATGACAGGCCCTGTTTCTGCTTGGTGAGAGGAGACTAGAAGGCAAGGAGGGTGCCATGACTAAAGGATCCTTTTGCTGTCAGGATCTGCTCTGGTTCTTTCTCGAATCAGCCTTTTTCTGCCCTCCATTGCAAAAGTCTTTTACTATTGTTTTTCATTCTTTTCTTTTTCAACATGGAAGTAGACATTTGTTTGCTAAATAGCTTGTTTTACAGCCAGATACCAATGTCTCCCCAATTTCTAATAACTAAGGATTGGTGTATTCTAATCATAGTCTCTCTCATCCATGGATATGCTTTTGTTAAATAGCCTCGACTAATTTTTTGCCTTTTAGGACTGACAGGTAAGCTATTCCAATTCTGCTGCTTAATGTCTGAGGTTGAGAAGAGAGCATCAGAGGACCTTATGAGTCCTCCTTCATCTGACTTGTGCTCAGTTTCCTAACCCTGGGCTTTCAAACTCTGGCAACATCTGTGATCAATGGAGCTAGGGGCATATCCCTCGGGTGCAAAGTGACTCATATCACTTCTGTTCCTTTGGTACTAGGTTTTGATTGTTTGGTTTTTGGTAAAGAAATATATAAATTATTTCCCCATCATTTTCATGCTGTAATTAAAAAGAATGAGAAATACATAGTAAATGCATTGGCATTTTTTTTCTCCCAAAGGTAAAAACGGCATACAAGTGTGCATGTATTTTACGGGATACAATTAACCCCTACCTGCTGCGCAGAATGAAGGCAGACGTTCGGATGAGCCTCTCCTTACCGGATAAAAATGAGCAGGTATCTTCAATTGCATAATTTCCCTGTTCACATGTTAACGTTTCTCAGAGACAGACTTTTCATATGAAGAAGTGCTTTGAGCAACACATCACTGGAAGGAGAAAGGTACTTATGGTACATAACCTCTCATCCTGAGGAAAAGGAGGCACAGCTCACTTTCATTTGGTCAGATGGTTACTTGGGGGGAATATGAAGCCACATATGATTTAATGACATTTTGGTCCAGCAGAATAAAGCATTACTTCTTTATTTCCAACTTTAAATTTAAGAAGTTGAAATGAGATCAGATCTTAGATAGACAGGTTGCCCCTTGTTCAAGTAGATAATAATCCTGGAAATAAATCTTTGTTGAAAGATGTCAGCATGTATCATTGAATTAGAATGTATAGTGCTGTTATTTATGTAGCATGAATTATTTTGCAGACACCCCCAAGAAATCATGGTTTTTCTTACCCATTCTGGTTATATTCGCTCCTACCACCCAGTAAATGCATACCCCTTTGCAGCACGATGGAACCCAGTCATAGAATAAGACACAGAGCTTGCCCTGGCATTTCTCAGAGTCAACTTTTTGAACTTTACCATCCCTGGCCAAACAGTATGTTTCAGTGAATTTGTAGGGGAGCAGAAACTCCTACACAGTACAGAGTTGGATGTGACATCTTTCAGAAAATTTGAACCCCTGCATAATATTTATGCGCTCCTTTTTGGCTTTGGATTTGCAGTTCTGCACTTCCTTACATTCCAGGCAGTCACTCCTGCTGTAAGTTTCCATTATTTCCATTATTTCTTCTGGATGACAGCCGACTCAGGCTCCTTAGGTCACTCTCCAAAGGAGAAAAAAAAAAATAGTTCCAAGATGAGGAACAAAGATTTACATGATCTGCTACCCAAGGAATAGATCCACTGACAAACATTTATGGGAGAGATGGAGCAAAACCCATACCCAGTTCTTGGGGAATGCTCTAGAAGAGCCACACTGGACAGTAACAACCCTGATCTTAAATCTGCTGCACATCAAAACAAGTTATAGAGCTGGAACTTCCTGTTCAGTGCAGGAATCGAAATTAAATCTCAGACTATCAAATTGCTCTTAGGATTTTTTTCCCTAACATTCAGTTGGAATCTGCCTTCCTGTAACATAAATCTATTAGTATTTTTAAATTATACTTCTATTGAAAAAAAATACCCTTTTCTACAACTGCATCACATTGCTGGTTCATATTCAGCTGATTATAATCAGCTACTTTTTCACAAGTACTGTTGCAAGCCAGGTATTGTGCAACAGCTTTCTAGCATAGCCTCTGTCTCTGCAACAGCTAAACCATTTGTTGTACATTGAAAGCAGAGTTAACCAAATAAGGATAAAGAGCTGTTCCAGTACAGGTAAAAAGAAAATTAATGGTCCCCTTATTTAATAGCCTTCACCTTGTAGTCTTCCTCAGGCCTCCCCAGTCACTGCCTAGACCTAGGAATGATGAAGGCCCAGGCAGAGAATGAGCCTCAGCTAGAGGAAAATACAAAACAATCTGTGTCACAGCTAACCACATAGAATATCAGCTTCATTAATGGACTGTTCCACATCCATTCAATCAGGGATATCACACCTATACAGGACATTAAACAGAGGCTTAGCCTATGATTTTTAATCCCTGATTCATATTTTGGTGCTTAACCTGAATTATTACCTATGTCAACTCAGTCTGACCAAGAAACTCTGTGGTCCTGATTCAACTAGAAATGCAAAAATGGCATCATAGACATTGCACAAAATCTTCACCTGTCTACTCTGAGAAATCTATGCCAAAACCTTCTAAGGAGGCAGATACTAACCAACAGTTTGCTAGCACAAAGTCAAAGCACACCAAGCCAGACACAGCATATTCCTTCTGCTTCAGAGAATTTAATATTTATTCCAAACATAATGATAAAATCCTCCATGGCCTCTCCTGGACCTATCTTCTGATATGTGGTTTTGACCCATTTAAATTCTCCTTTATCTTTACAATCTGCTACCTAATATCTGGGAAACGTTTACAGTGCATAGTGAATGCTTATCAGGAGTATGTTATGGCAGAGGAAGAATGTTCAGTTTATAACTCACTTTTCTATTCCAGTGAATACTTAAGGTAGTTAAGTTTAAGAACATATGTTAAAATTAAAATACTGATGTCCTGAAAATCGAGAAATCTGTAGTGATATTTGAGAATTACATCTGTCTGTAGGAGATTGCCATATTGCTTGGTAGAGCATTCTGATATTCATAGACAGGGGAACTCATCTCACAAACTGAAATTAATTAAAAGTTATGCTTGCAGATAAAGTGTGATTACATTCTGCATGATGGGCATGACATATTGTGAGTTTTAATAGATAAGCCAAGGAGCTTGGAAATTCACCATGGAGATGCTAATCCCAGTAATGAAAGCCACATTTATTTTAATTCATAAGTTGTAAAATCTTTGGGAGAAGATTTCTATTTGTCATTTTATTGCTTTATTTATGGTATTATGTAAGTATAATAACTTCTTCAATGTCTCTGTTTAGGTATTATTTTGTCGCTTGACAGATGAACAGCTACAACTTTACAAAAAATTTATTGATTCCAAAGAAGTCTATCAGATTCTCAATAGAGAAATGCAGGTAAAATGCAATAAAGAAATCAATTAGGAGGTTACTGAAAGAAAATATTATTGCCATTTGAAATAGAATAAATTAAAGGCAAAGATTGAAGAAAAAGAAAATCTAACTAGTTTAAACTAACACCATTCACTGCCACCTCTGCTTACCTTTCTATCCTTCTCATTTGGGGTTCAGGCCTGGGCATGGGACATCAGTTGCATTGGTTGCTCTCAATAGATAATCTACAGCAGGATTTGGATATGAGTAGTGTGACCTTTGTACTGCTTAATCTCTTGGTGACCTTGGAGTGTCCCTCTAAATCTCCAGGAAGGGTTGGGGATAGAGGGCACTGTTCTGCACTCCTTCCTGAGTGGAAATTCCAGTCAGTATCTAGAGGAGGAGAGGCTGGACTCCAATATTAGGTATCGAAGGGCTCAAATCTCTCCCTACTTTAAACAACATCTACATGAAGTCACTGGGGAAGATCATCTGGCAATATGGGGTGCACTATCATTAATATGCTAATGATCCCCAGCTGTATATCTCTATTAAAACTGAATGTATCATGCTGTAGAAGTCTTGATGTGATATCTGGAGGCTGTGAGGATCTGGATGAGGAGAAAGAGGTTAATACTGATATCTAGCAAGACAGGGTGGCTGCTAATTCAAAAGCCAGCTGATTCCAGGATGGTGCCATCTTTGCTTCTAGGCAGGATCATGTTATCCCAAAAGCAACAGATCTGCATTTGGAGGTTCTTCTCAATTCATAGCAGTTAGAAGCCATGAGCAAGAGAACATTTGCCAGCTGCAGCTAATTACTCAGTATTATGCCAATATTGCAAAAAACACATTGGTTGTTAGTGTAGGGAGCCATGGAAATGATCTTGGAGAAGCCATCCAGAAGTGGTTAGGACAACAACAGGTGCAGAAGAATGTGTTAAGCCCAGGGAGGCAAGAAAGTATTTAAAAAAGACTGAGGCAGGCTCTCTCTGACTCCCTGGGGTATCAGAGGGAGGGAAAGGAAAACACAGATTTGCAAGATCATGTTACTGTAGTCTATGTCAAAGTACAATTCTAGACTGTGGAGTCAGCTTCCTGATCTGGTCTACCTCATAGGGCTAACAGTTTGGATTGTATCAAAGTGCTAGTTACATCCTGTTAAGTTCTATATAATTTGGGCCAGGGATTATTTTCAGAACCATCTACTCTACGTAGAATCTGCCCATCCATCACCCCATGTCTGCGACAGGAAGGAGTTCAGAGGCTAGCATTCTCTGATGGGGGCTCCTTCTTGTGTGTAGTAACTTCCCCCTGAGATGAGAGCAGCACCTTTTTGATGTTTTGGAAACTGGTAAAGACCTGATTGTCTTTTAGAGACTTCAGGGAGCTGAGGCGAACGATGAGTATGTTACCATGGAATGAGTGATGGGCACTTGGTAAAAGTATTATTGTATTCACTGTGCATTTTTGTATTTTTGCTTTGATATGTATTTTTATTGGTTATTTTCTTATATACTATGGTGACAACGATGTGTGTCAAAATATTTAAAGCCACTTAGATTTGTTTAATTTAAGTGACATAAAAGAATCAATCAGTGCCTTTGGCTGCCCATGTCTCCAGTGAAGCTTTGGGCAGTGAACAGAATAAGAACAGCATCAATCCATAAAACTCCAAAAAGGAAACCAAACCCCCCCCGCCCCCCAAGTTGAAGCTCCTCAGAAAAATCTCAGATCATACACAATGTGTATGCACACATTCCAGAGCTCTTAGGGGAAGAGCCAGTAAGGATCCGAAAGACCAGCAGGACTGGGGCCACCCTTACAGTATCAATATAAATAAGACAAAATAAGTAAACCATAACTGATTTCACCAAGACAACATAACAATTTATACGCTGCTTTAAGTACAGCGGTGAGAGAAAGATTGTGAACTATCAGTAATCCTGTAATGTGTGACCTACCATGTGATCTGAGCTTCATCTTAAAAATAGAGGATGATATTTTGATTAAACAGATCACATCCAAAACAGTGGACTGTGTCGATATACTTCTTACATTCACCATAAACATTTCTTACATTTTTATTCATAAATGCATTGAACCACGTGGATATCCTGTGTCCTTGTCTTATTTCCTGCTCAGTGTTGATCCATTGATAAAGCCTTCCATTCTCATGCATACAAATATGCAGCACACTTGCTTTTTCACATTCGTATAATGTACACATTTTATATATATACATTTCTGAGAAGCCTTATATGTATATACATAATTTTTGCTTTGCTTCCTTTTTTTCTTTTGTTGGTTTTTTTCTTTCTTTCTTTTTTCTGTTCTGTTTTATTAAATGAATAAAGCCAGAAAAAGATTATACATTCCTCAGTGACCTGCTAAAAAGCAAAAAATCTGGTCTGTGCATCCTTTGCCCTGAATAAAGCCAAACTGCCCTTCTCAGATTTTGCTCCTCTCTCATCTACCCTTTCAGTCAGACCTCTTGCCAAGCCCACTTAACAATGAATCCCTCTATGCTTTTTACATTCACTCTTGCCACTTTTTCCTTGTGTAAGGAACAGGCATTCTTTCCCTCATATGCAGACCATCTTTCAGGCACATTTCATAATCTAGTTAAAAGCGTGCGTGCGCGCACGCTCTCTCTCTCTCTGTATGTGAGTTCAAAACTTACTCAGAAACTCTGCGGGAGTCAGGTTTCCCCATTGACTTTGCCTTTCAGAACTGTTTTCAGCATAATCATTTATAAATTGGTTTATGATTCTGTTCATCAGATGCTTCCTAATAGGATTTTGTTTGGCTATGTTTTCTATGTAGATTTTCCCAGGACTTCTATCCCTAAGAAAAATTTGCAACCATCCAGACATCTTTTCTGGTGGACCTAAGATTTTGAAGGGTACACCTGATGAAGACTTAAAAGAAGAAGATCAGTTTGGATTCTGGAAACATTCTGGGAAAATGATAGTCGTAGAGTCTCTGCTGAAAATATGGCATAAACAGGGCCACAGAGTGCTACTGTTTACTCAGTCTAGGCAGGTAAGGATATCAGAAGCATGCTGAATATCTGCTGAGACGTTGCTGTAAATTGGAAGCTGGTTTGCAACAGTATACATTCATTGGAATAAACCAGGAATGGCCTTCTGGAACTTGATGGACTATATTTCCCAGCAACCCCTGCCAATATAGCCAGTGATGAATTCTAGAAGTGACAGTTTAGCAACATTTGCCAGGCTATAGTTTCCCAGGGAAGATCGTCATTCCTTGCTGGATAGTTCAAGCCATTATTCCTGTCCATTTGCAGGTGTGCTTTAAATCAAACCTTGCTACTCCTTGTAATAGCATTTCCTTCAGTATTTCCAAGTTGTAACTATACCATTTTTGGACTCAAATCTTCATTTTTATTCTTTAGTAAATTCTACATTAAACTAAATGAGTGCAGAAATATGCTGATGAGGATTACTCCCCACATTGTTCATTAGGGATGTGTGGATGGACACATCTTTTATACAGGAGCTTAATGTAGGCATTCAGCTTTGTGAAGCTTAAATGCTGCCTTTTGTTAAATGTGGGGTAAATATCCCCTGTAATCTATGCTGCTAGAGATTATAACAAGATAGCCCTGTTTAGCAAGATTTTTTTCTTCAATGCTGCAGATGCTGCGCATCCTTGAAGTGTTTTTGAAGCAAAGAAACTATTCCTATCTCAAAATGGATGGCACCACAACAGTTGCCTCAAGACAGCCTCTTATTATGAGATTCAATGAGGTGAGAAAGTCTTGGTAAGGCATAAGATGCCTGGTCCTCATTGGGGAAGCATAAGTTTCGTATATGTTCGATAAGGGTTAACAACAAAAGAGCAATGCCCAAAACGTACCAATTAACAGCAGATGCATAGAGCTATAAGATTTGCTAGGTTCCACATTCCAAACACCTTATGCTTAAAATTCCTCAAACGCTGGTCTGCTTCAGATGATGCTCTTATTTTTTCCTTCTTGCTTCATCTTAAGTGTACTTTCTGAACTTATTCCTTCCATTTGGAAATTCCCTGGAGTGGATTAAATCAGATTTTGCAATTCAGGTGGAAGAGTGATTATGGGAAAGGTTGCTGTTGTCCTCATTTACAGTGTTTGCTGAACAAAATGTCAGTGCTGAGGATTCAGGCAAACTTTCTTTAGAAAGCTGTCAACTACTGAAGTGTGATTTTATTTGAGTTACTTTGGAACGAGGTGATAGTTTCTGTTGGCCTGAACTCACCATCAAGACTCTCAAATTGCAGACAGTTGTATGATAGGTCTTTCCTGCTATATAACCATATTAAAGGTTTCTGCCCTTTTTTCTCTAGGTTTGTCTCATGCAATCCATTATTGAAATAAGGCAATATTTATGGGTATTGATTGCTTCCATGGTCAAGGGCAATAAAATTACATAACATGAAAACATGGATGCCCCCTGCCCCCAAGTTTAAAATGAAATGTAAGACTCACCTGTTGCTAGTATTACATTTCTTGAGATAGCGAGATGGATTACTTAAAACTTTTCCTTGCATATCTTTATAGGATGCGTCCATATTTGTCTTTCTTCTTACTACTCGAGTTGGTGGGCTTGGTATTAACCTAACAGGTGCAGACAGAGTGATCATCTATGACCCTGACTGGAATCCCAGCACAGACACTCAGGTAGGTTCACTGGAAAAGAACTGTACATTTAATAAAAGCATGTTTTCATTGAGTCAGATTATTTTGTGTACAGTGTTCAGTAAAGCCCCAGATTCAGGATACAGTGGTACCTCTACTTATGAACTTAATCCGTTCCGTGACTGATCGCAAGTCAAGTTGGTCGCAAGTTGAGATAAATTTTCCCAT